GAACCGGTCTCCACATGGGATCCGAACCCTCGGCGGGAGAGCCGCCATGCTCCCAAGCGGTGCACTCTCCAGTGCGCCACCGGGCCGGCCCCTTTTTGTCTTTTTTACTGACCGGCAACGGAATCGCAACCCTCAGTGTTGCGCGTGCACCACGCTCAGCCAGTGAGAACCGGTCTCCACATGGGATCCGAACCCTCGGCGGGAGAGCCGCCATGCTCCCAAGCGGTGCACTGTAGCAGTGCGCCACCGCGCTGGCCCCTTTTTGTCTTTTTTACTGACCGGCAACGGGATCGCAACCCTCAGTGTTGCGCGTGCACCACGCTCAGCCAGTGAGAACCGGTCTCCACATGGGATCCGAACCCTCGGCGGGAGAGCCGCCATGCTCCCAAGCGGCGCACTCTCCAGTGCGCCACCGGGCCAGCCCAACAAAGCCTATTTTTTAATAAAACACTGAATATCTTATCTAATCTTTTTTAATACGTACTGAGAATGAAAAACAGAGTGGTTGGATAGGTACTTGAGGTACAATTTCCACTGAATGTACATTGCTTTAGCACCACTCTAAAGTCAAAAACTTGTAAATGGGGCCGGCCCGGTGGCGCACTGCTACAGTGCACCGCTTGGTTGCACCACTTGGGAGCGTGGCAGCGCTCCCGCCTAGGGTTCGGATCCCATATACAGACCGGTTCCCTCTCACTGGCTGAGCGAGGTGCGGGCGCAACACCGAGAGTTGCGATCCCGTTGTCGGTCCCGGTCCGGTACGGGCGCGACACTGAGGGTTGCGATCCGTTGCCGGTCACGAAAAAAGACAAAAAGGAAAAAAAAAAAAACTTGTAAATGGAACCATTACAAGTCAGGGACCACCTGTATATCTAGTCCCCTCCCCCAAATAGAGTCCCTAAGCTGCCTGGAATGGTCTTGGTTATCGGAACAGTCACTTTCTGTTGCAGGAGGAAGGAAAGAAGATGGGCAGTCAAGGAAGACAGGAAGTGGGTTTATGGATCTTTAGCCAGGCAGAAGTGAAGGAGGATTGAGGGAGAGTGAGCAGGAGCTGCCTGGAATGGTCTTGGTTATCGGAACAGTCACTTTCTGCTGCAGGAGGAAGGAAAGAAGATGGGCAGTCAAGGAAGACAAGAAGTGGGTTTATGGATCTTTAGCCAGGCAGAAGTGAAGGAGGATTGAGGGAGAGTGAGCAGGGAGTGGCAAGGTGAGCTCCTCCAGAGACCTGCTGGGACAACAGGGAAAGCCAGGAGCCTTAGGTTTGGCCCCAGCTCTGCCACTACTGAGACAGGGACTTGAGGCAAGTTACTCACTGGCTCTAGGGCTAGTTAAGATGATCTCTAAAGTTTCCTTCAACCCTAAGGCTCTATCATTCTACTCCCCCCCCCATAACCTCTGACACACCTCCCTCAAGCCAATGCAAGAGCTCATAAAATCTGTCTCCTCTCACTCAAACCAAGAGCAAATAGTGGTGTGGAAAAGCTGCTTGATGCTCTTCCACCCTTCTTTGTATGAGGAGCCTCATCATGGATCACTCAAGATTCTCAAAGACCTGCAGGTGGTTCAAGATCCACATAGCTTAAGTGGTTAAGAGTTAGCCAGATCTGGGTTCAAAGCCCACCTCTTAAATTAGGCTTATTAACTGTGTTACCTTGAGTGAGTTACTTAACTTCTCTCAGCTGCTACTATCAGCATTATTCTGTGAATCATTACTGCTGGGCATGAAAGACCATCCAAACAGCACTTCGCCTTCACTTAGAACTATTTCAGAACAGTGAAGTTCACTGTGGCAATGTGGGCTGCTCCAGACACACGAAGAAGAATAGAAAAAGGAACTGGAGAGAATGCAATGGAAAGGTCAAATATGAAAAATTCTCAGTACCCTTTATGATTATCCTATGCTTTTCTTCTAAGAATCTTCAAGTGCATTATACATATTATGTTGCTCAGGCCAAGCCCTGAATAGTAGGTAGTAAATATCCCCACCACTCCCTTTCTCCAGAGGCTGAACCAGAGAATGAACTGTGATCTCCCTATGGGCAGGAGCTGTGTCTCCTTATTTCCTCCACCATCCCCAGTAGGAGCACAGCACATTGCCTAATGAAACAATGGCTATGCAACCTCCATGAAGGCAAGGAGGGCTGAGGTGACAAACAGCTAATGTACACCAAGTACCCGATATGTGCCACGCACTCTTCTAAATGCTTTCTATGTATTTTTCATCAAAACTTGAGAGCAACTCTATGAAGTGGGTAGTAACAGGAAATTGAGACCAAGGAGGGCTAAGTCACTTGCCAAAGGTCACAAAGCTAGGAAGTAGGCCTATCAAGTTTGTTTGACTCCAGATCCTGAGGTTTTTACCCAAGGAGGCTGTAGCTTAATGGTTTAAGTTATACCCCTTCAGCTGCTTTTTATACTTCAGGTGCTTAAACAAAAATCCTAACCCAAACAAAAGCAACAATTTGCCTTTGATGGAAAAGATAAGAACTCAGCCCTTGTACAGGTCTAGAATTTGGGAACAGTGTCCCTCATCTTCCACTCAGCATGGAGAAGGGGCAACATGCTTGGGGCTCCTCCCTTCTTTGCTGGAAATGTTGTATTTTCACATACTGATTTTCTGAAGAGCAGAATGGTGTATCTTCTCTGTGTGGAACATGGGGTGTTCATTTCTTCTTTCAACACTTATTGAGTGCTTACCCTGCACCGGCACTGAGCTGGGGGAACATGATGGGCAGATGAGCAAAAGCAGTCATGACTGCTGTCCTCACAGAGCTTGAGGTGTAATGAAAGATGATAAAATAATCAAATGGATAAAACTGCAACTACAGTAAGTGTTAGGGAGGAAAAGGGATTAGGTGAGAGCTCGTAACAGGTAAGACTCAGTCTAACAGGTTCAGAAGGGCTTCTGGAAGGAAAGTTAGCTTGAGCTAAGATTGACAGGATGATCAGAAAGTTAGTAACTAGGGAAGAGGTATGGGAAAATGGTACAAGCAAAGCTCTTTGGTTAGAAGGAGCTGGTTGATGACATAGGTAGGGAAGTTAGATAAGCAGAGACCAAACAGTGCAGGGGGTGACAAGGTCAGATTTGCACTTTAAAGAAACTTTCTGGGCCAGCCCGTGGCTCACTCGGGAGAGTGTGGTGCTAATAACACGAAGGCCACGAATTCAGATCCGTATATAGGGATGGCCAGTTAGCTCACTTGGTAGAGCATGGTGCTGATAACACCAAGTCAAGGGTTAAGATCCCTTTACGAGTCATCTTTTAAAAAAAATAAAAATAAATAAAGAAAGAAACTTTCTTCCTGGCAATGTTTTCATTTGCACAAAACTCCATGGCTAAAAAAATGCTAGAAACTTAGCATCGAAAAGGAACTTTGTGTCAACAATGAATGCTCTTATGTGAAGGCCTTTTACCTCAGGCATGACCATGGTAATGACAACTAGGATCCTCACTTCTTATAGATATGTACCTTCGGCCCTGGTACCACAGTGACTGGCTCCAAGAGACAGGGCACGTATGGT